TGTCCCCTCCTCCTGTGTGGTCACCTGCGGGTAAACAGCTGTCCCCTTCTCCTGTGTGGACACAAGTGTCCTATCCTCCTTTTTGGACCCCTGCGGATGAACAGGTGTCCCCTCCTCCTGTAAGGTCACCTGCGGACGAACAGGTGTCCGCCTCTCCTGTGAGGTCACCTGCGGATAAACAGCTGTCCCCTTCTCCTGTGTGGACACAAGTGTCCTATCCTCCTTTTTGGACCCCTGCGGATGAACAGGTGTCCCCTCCTCCTGTGTGGTCACCTGCGGACGAACAGGTGTCCGCTTCTCCTGTGTGGACCCCTGCGGACGAACTGGTGTCCTCTGAAATGGCGTAGGTGAGACCACGGTGGGTGGAGGGATAGATGTCAACACTTGAATGGCTGGACTGGTGTTAGACGGCTTGTGATTGGTTGGGAAGGTTGTAGGATGGAAGTTCAAGGTGATGACGTCTCTTCCTGCGATTGTTGTGTCTTGGAAGGTAGATTGACGATGTGAGTGAGGAAGTAAAACATGTGGAGGCAGTGTTGAGGTAATGGAAGCTACAGCTGTTTCCAAGCTTCTCATAACGTCTGTCCAAGCATTCAGAGACGTCTGCTGGTTTTCTCTGGGCGTTAAATCCGTCTTGGTTACCTCCTTCTGACCAGAGCTGTGGTTCCGATGCTTGGGAAGCCTCCTGGAAGTTGACAGTATTCCTCTGGAAGTTTCCCTGGAAGCTGCCTTCTGACCACCCGCCGTGGATGAAGCAGTTGAGGTAAACTGGTAAGGCTGCGTTGAGGTTTCCATCCCAGTTGCCTGATGGACCCTTTGCGATTCTGTCAAAGAGTCGTAACGGCCAGTGAGACGGTCGTAGTGCAGCAGAGGTGCTGGTTCTGTTGTAAAGCTGGTTTCATAGCTGTCCTCTAAAAAGTCTGCAGACCTCAGCAGAGCTGATGTGAAGACCTCTGCAGTCCCCAGCATGCTGTTTCCATGAGTCAAAGCTGGAAGTGACGGTGCGGCTGTAGAGCTCTGCCATGACACTCTTGGCAGGAGTAGACGGCCGTCCTTTGTCTCTGGGAGTGGGAAAGTCTCTGTGAGCGCCTTGTGGTTCTGCCTGAGGACTGAGCTTTCTTTATGACTCAGTCTGCTTGATGACGCAGCTTGGCTCCCTGTGGATGGAACGGCGCTGCTTGAACCGACTGTAACTCGGGGCTGTTCTGTGTTTAGCTCAGAAATCGAGGCCTTGGCTGCAGGTCTGATGGTATTGGAGGCGTCCAGCTTTTCTTTCTTCCTGTTTGGCCTTTTTCTCCGGCCGCCGTTTCGTCTTTTGGAGCCGACTGGCCGCCTGTTAGACTCCGACTTTCTTCTACTGGGAGGCTTAGGAGCCGTTGAAGGTGACTTCGATGGTTCGACTTCAGAACGTGACTCTGTGGCGTCCTTGGGTTCAAACTGTGACAGAGTTGATGTCTCCCCCAGATAGTGTCCACTTCCCTCTCTCTTTACAGAATTCGTCTGACTTTCCAATGAGAATCTGTGATTTATGGAGCTGATGACATCATCCGGCTCGGCCCCGCTCTGCCTTCCCTCAGAGGGATCAGCTGTTTGGACCGTGCTGCCGCTGGCTGTGCGCGCGCTGGGCTGGCTGATTGTGATGCCGTGCGGGGGAACAGATGTGGTCTGGGGGAGTGAGAACCCACTATCTGAACTCGTGACTAGGTTTGGCTCTGTGTGTTGGGTCGTGCGCTGTGCAGTGTAAGCTCTCTCTGTGGGATGGGGTGCTGTAGTGAGGTGTCTGCTGTTATTAGCGGCGCCACGCTCACTGTAAGGTTCAGTTGTCACATGATCATCCTCCCCATGAGTGGGGAATTCCTTGATTTGTGGTTCTGTGGACTGTTCGGGGAGGTATTGCTGATCCTTGCTACCATGTACAGTCACGCCATCTGACGACTTGTCAGGAGTTTTCAATGACTCGGTCGTCAGGGCTTTTTCAATCTTTGTTGGATAGGAAGCAGGAAGTGGGCTCACAGCATCCCGCTCCCTGGCCTTAGCCAGGATGTGCGCCCATTTCTTTGGGTCGATTTTGCTTTTGGACAGATGATTCCTCCTCCTGTTTTCAGCTGAACCATTCTGGTTTTCAGTGTGCGACCCCCGTAGCATCGTCCGCCTTTGCCAGGTGCTTCTGGAAGGATGAATCCCCTTTCTCCCTGGGGCTAGATTCCCTGGGATTCTCCTCCTGACTCCACTGATGTGGTGGCGTATCGTAGACGCATCAACGTCGCCCGATGCTTCCTCTGCGTTCTCCGTGGGGATTTTGACCTGTGTGCTAACTCCTGAGGCCGACTGTGGTCTCACTGGAAACCTGCGTAAAGGTCTGATCAGGCCGCTGCGTCTGACAATACTGACCTTTTTCACCATAGTGTCTGCGCCATGCTGATTTATAGCTACGCATTTGTAGTACCCGCTGTCTGATACCTGAGTCTTGGAGATATGAAGAGAACCATTAAAATGCACCAAGGCTTTGGAGGAATTGTCTTGGGAGTGAACTATTTGGCTGCTTGGAAGAATCCAGTTTATCTCAGCATCCGGGGAGCTGGATGCGGGGCAGTCCATAGAAATGGGGTTTCCCGCAAACTCCTCCATTGAAACGGCGGAGGTGTCGTCTCCTGGTGGGGGACTGGAGGACTCCTGGACGGACAGGTAGAAGGAAAGCACGGCGACATCTCCAGGAACCTTGGCCATGCAGTAGAAAGTTCCGGTGTCACTGTGGGTAACAGCTGTGATTCTCAGCCGTCCATCTCTGGAGACGGAGACTCTGTTTCCAGGACCGCTGTAAGGGCTGGCCAGTTCTGAGCCATCTGGCAGCGTCCACCGGACTTCCGCCGGGTCGGAGCTCCGAACGTTACAGAACATTTCACTGGGACTTCCAAGGATTGCACTCATAACTTTACGTGTCCTGTTTGTGGAATCGATCATAACCCAGGTCCTGCCCAGTCTCTGCTGCTGCTCCGTTTCCACCAATTCTGAGAGGGTGGTCCTGAGAGCGAGGATCACCGTTCTGATTGATGACTCAGCACGGTTCAGCTGTAGCTCCACAGACGGCTGCATCAGCCATGCGGGCCGTGCCCACATTTGGACTTTTAGCCCTGTGTAGTACCCGGCATCCAGCTCAGAATCCTGCTCGTACGCATAGGTCAGCTCAGGCTCTTTGGTCAGGGCGGGGCCCCGTTTCAGATGGGCGGGGACGTTGCTGTAGTAAGCGATTGCTTTCCACAGCTGCTCGTATTTCTTCCTGTCCACGGCGCACTGCAGCTCCACTGAGAGGCTGACGTTGGCCAGTAGCTGTAGCTTGCTGACCTGCTCCCAGCTGACCTTGGACGGCTCTTGCAGCTCATCTACACTGCACTCCAGATCTAACTTGTTCCCATGTTCATCTGAGAGGCCCATAGATATGTTACCTATTGGGTCCTTAAAGTCCTTGGAGGTCAGCATCTGACGCTCTGACTCCGGTGGAGGTGACGTTCCATGAAGGAGGCTGATGACAGGGCTGCTGCAGACCAGGGGAGCAGCAGCATGGAGGTCAGTGTCCTTCAGCGGTCTGGGAGAGGAGCATGAAGGACACAGCTGGCCACCTGGGAGGTCTCGGTCCTTTTTACATTTCAGAACCCCTGGAGAAGCACAGAGAAGAACAGTTAGAGTGAGAGAACTGTACTTCCCCCAAAGGGAACTGGTCTTCCCCCAAAAGGGAACTGGAATTCCCCCAAAAGGGAACTGGTCTTCCCCCAAAGGGAACTGGAATTCCCCCAAAGGGAACTGGTCTTCCCCCAAAAGGGAACTGGAATTCCCCCAAAAGGGAAGCCCAGTTCAGTGCATACAGGGGACACAGAAATCTCACCTGGTGAATCTTTTTCCCAGTCGTGGAACCAGCTCATGCCACAGTCGCAGGTCCACAGGTTACCATGGAGGTACAGGCTCTCGAGGTGGGGCATGGTCCCCAGCAGCTGGGAGGGCAGAGACGTGAGTCCGTTGTCAGACAGGTGGAGGTGTCGCAGCGTGGAGATGTAGAACTGGTCCCTGAGGGCGAAGGTGCTGAAGGTGGTGGCGTGCAGCTGTTGAAGGTGGTTTCCCTCCAGCTGCAGGAAGCGTAAGGAGGTGAGTCCCTGGAAGGCGTCCGGATGGATGAGTTCCAGCTGGTTGTGATCCAGATGCAACCTGGACAAGGACCACAGGCCGTGGAACGTGCGCCGGTTAATCTCCTTTAACTTGTTGTAGCTCATCTTCAGCATCTGAATAACAGAGAGGTTTCAAAATGATCCACAACATCATCAAGGTGGGAGTCAGAACAGAGAAGGTGTGTAACTACTGGAGCCATTACAGGAACCTTTACAGCAGATGTTTCCAGCAACCCAACTGGTCGCGTCATTAAAAGTAATCAAACAGACCATGGAAACATGACTTGAATGAAAAAGAAAATAATTAAATGGGCTAACGGCATAGTGAGAAATCATCTGGAATCTGTCAGTATCAATAAAACAGCCCAGCTAATAAAGACCTGCTGGGAAGGAGCACAGAGACCTTCACCAGACGGTCTACCTGATGCTAGGAGTGGTCGCAGCAGCCTGTCTAGGTTTAGATCTATACTGAACCATGAAGTAGAGCTGCTGAGCCACAGCAGACTAATGCTAAAACAAGAAATGACCAAAACAACACATCAACCCCCCAGAAAGCAGGTAGATGTGGATCTCATCCATTTAAGGGTCACCATGTTTACAGTCAGAGGTTATCTCCGGATCAGATCCAGAACCTTGCTGGGCTGAGATCAGCAGCCCTACTTAACACATCAAAAAGGGGTGACTCTGATCCATTCAGAGACCGGAAGCACCGGTCCATTAGTCAGGTCTGAGCAGCACCGGTCCATTGATCCGGTTTTGGGCCCTGGTGTTGGTTCCTGGTGTTGGTTCCTGGTGTCGGGTCTTGGGGTTGGTCCGTGGTGTTGGTTCCTGGTGTTGGTTCTTAGTTCCCTGTGTAGGTCCTTGGCTCCTGGTGTTTGTACTTGTTGTTGATTTCTGCTGTTGGTCCTTGATGTAGGTCATTGGTTACCACTGTTGGTCCTTGGTGTTGGTCATTGGTTACCGGTGTTGGTCCTTGGTGTTGGTTCCTGGTGTTGGTCTTTGGTATTGGTTCTTGTTGTTGGTTCCTGGTGTTTGTTCTTGGTTCCCTGTGTTAGTTCTTGGTGTTGGTTCCTGGTGTTGGTCTCTGGTGTTAGTCCAGGGGATTGGTTCCTGGTGTTTATTCTTGGTTCCCTGTGTTGTTCCTTGGTTCCTGGGGTTGGTTCCAGGTGTTGGTCCTTCATTCCTGGTTTTGGTCTTTGGTATTGGTTCTTGTTGTTGGTTCCATGTGTTCAATCCTGGTATTGGTTCCTGGTGTAGGTTGTTGGCTCCCTGTGTTGTTCCTTTGTTCATGGTGTCGGTCCTTGGTGTTGGTTCTTGGTTCCCTGTGTTTGTCCTTGGTTTCTGGTGTCGGCCCCTGGTTCCACGTGTTGCTCTTTGGTTTCTGGTGTCGGACCTTGGTTCCTGGTGTTGGTTCTTGGTGTTGGTCCTTGGTGTTGGTTCCTGGTGTTGGTCCTTGGTGTATGTCCTTCGTTCCTGGTTTTGGTCTTTGGTATTGGTTCTTGTTGTTGGTTCCAGGTGTTCCAACCCTGGTATTGGTTCCTGGTGTAGGTTGTTGGTTCCCTGTGTTGTTCCTTGGTTCCTGGTGCCGATCCTTGGTGTTGGTTACTGGTGTTGGTTCTTGGTTTCCTGTGTTGATCCTTGGTTTCTGGTGTCGGCCACTGGTTCCAGGTGTTGGTCCTTGGTTTATGGTGTCGGTCCTTGGTTCCGGGTGTTGGTTCTTGGTTCCTGGTGTTGGTTCTTGGTGTAGGTCTCTGGTGATAGTCCTTGGTATTTATTCCTGCCGTTGGTCATTGTTTCCTGGTTTTGGTTCCTGCTGTTGGTTCTTGGTTCCCTGTGTTGGTCATTGGTTTCTGGTGTTGGTTCTTGGTTCACGAGTTGGTCCTTGGTTCCTGTGTTGGTTCTTGGTTCCCTGTGTTGGTCCTTGGTGTTGGTTCCTGTTGTTGGTTCTTGGTTCCCTGTGTTTGTCCTTGGTTTTCGTTGCTGGTGTTGTTACTTTTATACCTGGTTTTGGTTTCCTGTGTTGGTCCTTGGTTTCTGGTGTTGGTCCTTGGTGTTGGTTCCTGGTGTTGGTTCCTGGTGTTGGTCCTCGCTGTTGGTCATTGGTTACCAGTGTTGATTCATGCTGTTGGTAATTGGTTACCAGTGTTGGTCCTTGATGTTGGCTCCTGTTCTTAGTTCTTGGTTAATGCTCTTGGTTTTAATTCCTGTTTGGGTCCCTGGTGTGTGTTCCTGGTTTTCGACTCTGGAGTTGGTCCTTTGTTCCTGCTGTAGGTCCTTCTTGTTGTTTCCTTGTATTGGTCCTTGGTTCCAGGTGTTGGTCCTTGGTGCTGGGTCTTGGTGTTGAACCCTGTTGTCGGTCCTTGCTTTCAGTCCTTGCTTTTGGTTCCTGGTGGTGGATCCTAGTGTTGGTTCATGGTGTTGGTCCTATGTGTTGGTTCCTGGTGTTGTTCCTTGGTTTCTGGTGTCGGTCCCTGGTATTTTTTCCTGCTGTTAGTTGTTTGATTCTGGTTTTGGTTCTTAGTGTATATTCATGGTTTTTCCTTGTGTCAGTGTTCCTGGTGTTGTTTCTTGGTTCCTTGTGCAGTTCCTTGCTTTCTGTTGTTGGTCCTTTGTTCCGAGTATTGGTTCTTGGTTCCTTTCGTTGATCCCTGGTGTTGTTCCTTGGTTCCTGGTGTTGGTTCATGGTTCCTGGTGTTGGTTCTTGGTTCCTGGTTTTGGTTCCTGACGTCAGTCCCTGGTGTTGGACCCTGGTGTTTTACCTTGGTTCCTTGTGCCGTTCCTTGGTTTATGGTGTCTGTGCTTCATTCATGGTGTTGGTTCTTGGTTCCAGTGTTGGTTTCTGGTTCAGTCCCTGGTGTTGGTTCTAGGTGTTGATCCTTGGTTCTTTCTTGGGATCCCTGGTGTTGGTTCGTGGTGTTGTTCCTTGGTTCCAGGTGTTTGTCCTTGGTTCCAGGTGTTGTTCCTTGGTTCCAGGTGTTTGATCTAGGTGTTGGTTTCTGGTGTTGGTTCTGAGTTCCTGGTGTTCCTTCCTGCTGTTGGTTCCTGGGATTGTTTTTTTTTTTTGTTCTTTGTGTTCCTTCCTGCTTTTTGTTCCTTGGTTCCTGTTGTGTTCTGTTGTAGGTTCCTGGTGTTGGTTCCTGGTGTCGGTTTCTGTTGTAGGTTCCTGGTGTTGGATCCTGGTGTTGGTTCCTAGTGTTGGTTTCTATTGTAGGTTCCTGGTGTTGGTTTCTGTTGTAGGTTCCTGGTGTTTGTTCCTGGTGTTAGTTTCTGTTGTAGGTTCCTGGTGTTTGTTCCTGGTGTTAGTTTCTGTTGTTGGTTCCTGGTGTTTGTTCCTGGTGTTAGTTTCTGTTGTTGGTTTCTGTTGTAGGTTCCTGGTGTTGGTTTCGGTTGTAGGTTCCTGGTGTTTGTTCCTGGTGTTGGTTTTTGTTGTAGGTTCCTGGTGTTGGTTTCGGTTGTAGGTTCCTGGTGTTGGTTTCTGGTGTTGGTTTCGGTTGTAGGTTCCTGGAGTTGGTTCCTGGTGTTGGTTTCTGTTGTAGGTTCCTGGTGTGGGTTCCTAGTGTTGTTTCCTGGTTTCGGTTCCTGGTGTCTGTTCCTGGTGACGGCCCGGGATGTTTGTCTTTCATTCCTCTATAGACCTGTTTGCCTGCTGAGTGAAAAGCATGGGTCCCTCCTCCAAGTGCCTCCTGTTGTTTGAAGACCACAGACATAAGAGCAGCAGGTCTGACCTTTGACCCCTGATGGACCTGGGTGAGTGTTGGAGCTCTGCAATGACTCCCACTCTTCAGGACTCACACATCTAATGATGGATGGATGCGTTATTTAAGCTTTATTTGTCGAGCTATCATTGAATCTATTGTGTAAAATAATCCAACACAGAATAAAGTTGGTGTTGAACGTGTTTGTGAATAAAGGTGTTTGAATGTGGAGCATCTCTAACCCGACCCTGATGGTGGAAAAACAGAAGACACTGATGGAGGTTCACTAAAGGTCTGGTTCCTCCAGTAAAGCTTTAAAGGGAGGATTACTGGATCAGAACCAGTTCTTCAGCCGGTACCTGAAGTGATGCCAGGTCCCTGAAGGCTCCATCGGGCAGAGAGTGGATGTTGTTGCCGTGGACCATGAGCAGCTCCAGCCTCTTCAGCCCAGACAGGGAGCCGACCCCTATGTGACCGATGCTGTTAAACCTGAAAACATGCAGAGTGAAGAGCTGGATCACCAGAACAAACACGCTCCGCTGATCCCTGCATCCCTTCCTCACCCCAAGTTAACGCGCTTCACATGCCGGGACACGGCGCCTGGGACGGAGAGGAGGGAGCGGAACGTGCAGTGCAGCTCAGCCGGATGAGGGCAGGAGCAGGGTCGGGGGCAGGGAGCAGGAAGCCCAGGGGGCAGGAGCACCAGGAGAGTCTGGAGGAGCCACAGCGTGCAGTGCTCCCTCTTCATCCTCACAGACGGCAGGGGGGGGGCTGCTTGGAGTGCCTGGAAAGTCTGAGTCTGTCTGCCTGGAATCACATTTTATGCACCATTTAACTGGAGAGAGAAGACAGAAACCAGAGCCTGGAGCGGCAGGAGAAGATGAGGAAGCACTCACCTCAAAGTACTGGGAACCTCCCTGCAGGCAGCTCCTCCTGACCCATCCTGTCGCTATGACCTCAAACAAGCCTGGAAAACCGGACAGAGGAGAGCCGGAGACGTCCGGGAGGAAAACCGGAGACGTCTGGGAGGAAAACCGGAGACGTCTGGGAGGAAAACTGGGGGAGAAAACGGGAGACGTCTGGGAGGAAAACTGGGGGAGAAAACTGGAGACGTCTGGGAGGAAAACGGGAGGAGAGGTCAGATCCAGAGTGCTTCCTCAGCCCCAGTCTGAAGGGAGTGAAGCAGCAGCTCCTAAAGCGAAGGCAGGAGACGCAGCGGGAGGAGTCTGACGGAGGGCAGGGCAGATCCTCCTCCTGCTCCTCCATCCAGACACACCGATCCTGAGTGCAGGAAGCGGCTGAAGGCTGTTTGCTCAGAACGTGTCGGTGCAGACCGGCTGACCCGGACGGTTTCTCTGTGAGGAACCAGACCCGGTCCTGGATCCACCTCCAGAACCCTTCATGGTGAGATTGTGGGTCAGAGCAGAACCTGGTTCTTTAAAAACCTGCTGGGTTCCAGGCTTTCTGGTGTAAAGTTCTGGGTCACGTACAGCTGTTGGACCTGAAAGGTTTCCTATGGAGACTCAGTCATGGAGCATGATGCTCAACCTGGAAGCTAAAGCTAAAAGTCAAAGGGAAGCGCTTTAGCCAAAGTTGGCTACCAAGCGTTAAGCTAGCAGGAAAACTGCTGTCTGTCGTCCATGATCAGTCCTGCTCGTCTCCAACAAACTCCCAAAAAAAAGATTTTTTAATGAAAAACCTAAACCCTTTATTTTCTCAGCGTATTTAAATTAGCCACTCTCATTAATAACGTTAGCTTTATAAGCTAACGGCTAAAGGTGCCTAGATACAAACCTTTCAGGAAGGAAATCTTGTTTTCATTTTCACTCATAGTTTCAAGCTTTGAGGTAATGTCTTCATGCGACCGCTAGCTCATGCTAGCTTTGGCCACCAGAAGGTCATGAATCCAAAATGGCCGATATTAGAAGAAAGGGTAGCACTTTGCTGACATGGTGGGTGTTAGCGTAGCGTTAAACCAGTGGAACACACGGTTCTATGTGTTAAAAAGTATCTGTTTCTTTCTGAATGTTTAAAGTGTCTTCATGCGACTGCTAGCTCATGCTAGCTCTCGATACTGGAAGTTCATGCATCCAAAATGGCCGATATTAGAAGAAAGGGTAGCACTTTGCTGACATGGTGGGTGTTAGCGTAGCGTTAAACCAGTGGAACACACTGTTCTATGTGTTAAAAAGTTTTTTTTTTCTTTTTGAATGTTTAAAGTGTCTTCATGCGACCGCTAGCTCATGCTAGCTCATGCTAGCTCATGCTAGCTCTGGATACTGGAAGGTCAAGCATCAAAAATGGCCGATATTAGAAGAAAGGGTAGCACTTTGCTGACATGGCATATGTGTTAAAAAAGTATCTTTTTCTTTCTGAATGTTTAAACTTGTTAGCCCACGGGGCCCTTAGGTTCCTCTGGATTCCAGAACCTTCTGCAGCTGCAGCCTCTCTGTCCAAATGTGCCAAAACCAAAAATCAGCCTTCAGAGCTGCAGAGGTTCCCATTCTTCAGGCGAAACGTGTCATTTCCTGTCCACCATCTCCTTGGTGGCAGTCAGGGATTCAGGTCTCAGAACTGCCTGCAGGCCTGCACCTGGGTGCCAGCTGCTGGGAAACACTCATTACAGAAGGACTCCATAAAGATTAAACACATAGAGCTATGTAGCATCAGCAGGTTAGGTCGCTGTGAGGATGGGATAGATTCCACCGCCGTCTCTTGGACTCAGAGTCTGGTTCCAAACCTTCCAGAGGAGGTCAGGTCAGGTTAGGATGATGCATCCGGACACAAAACAAGGCAGCGAGGGAGGGAGTTTATCCCAAAATGTAGCATTGCTGATGAGGGGAGGGTTCCTGACATGCTAGCCTGTCATTGAACTAAAGCCTCCTCTGACTGACGGAGAACATCTGTTGGATGTGGGATTGCTGCTGTCTTTCTGCTGAATATTAAAGCAGAAACCGCTGTTTGATGTTCACATTGGGAGCTAAGCTAGCCTGTCCACACCACCCGCTGTTTTGTCCATTCTGATGATCAGCACATGTTCTGCATATTCTTAAAGGAACCTGGAACTTTCCTGCTTTGCGGCAAAAAATGTAAAAGTAGGATTGAAGCCTAAACTGGAGGGAGACGGAGAGGAGAGCTCCGTGTTGGGAGGTCTGTCCATGTTTACAGTAACCGCGCGTTACAGCTGCGGGAAAGACGAGACGGACATCATCACTCAGTTATGCCGGTGAGTAATGAGCAAGCTTCATGGGAAAACAGCTGTTCCTGGATATTCTGTTTAACAGGATGTCTCCATGGACGTATCCGTTTCTCTGACAGTAACTCCTGTCTCAGAGATCTCTGATCCACAGCGGCTCGTTTCCTCGCTGGGATGGCCAGCATCAGCCAATCAGATCAGAGAAGAGTGTGAGGCGCTTCCTGAAGCCTGAGCAGCATCAGGTTAAGAGGTCAGACCAGATGAAGCTACTATGAGAAAAAGCAGAGAGAGCAGAA